AATTTACGCCGGCTATATCAGGTGTGCATTGAGCCAAGCTATAGATTGTCTCATCTTCTGTTACACGGGCTTCTATGGTAGCGAAACGCAATCTAGATCCATTGTTTTCGCTTCCAAAAGCAGTCTCGTTGATAAGATTTTTCAACGTCGATGACAATGTTCGATTAAACTGCTGGTAGTTCGATACATTTGCGTCAATATGATCGGACCCTGATAGTGCACCCTCGAACATGCCATATGTACTGTAGTTTGTGTATCGAAAGATGCACAACTGCGAGAAGAGAAATCACGTCTTCATGCTCTATACAGGTTGATTCCATAACAGATTGTGTACCGTTAAGTATGCAACTGCTACAAGTTTTGAGGTCAACATCAGCTCGACACATGTAGTAGCCATAAACTCGATCAGAGCTGTCGCCGATGCTAGTGTTGTAGTAGTTGTTAGCAGAGGAATGTTCGATGAAATCAGATAGAAGAAGATTTACATTGTTTCTGAAGCATCGCTAGCATTTCCAGTACTCGAACAACCCACACTGTTGCTGATTTGTCTAGCAATGAATGAATCTCTGCTGTCGCTGCTTACAAGACTACAAAAACAGCAGAACAATATAAAGGTTTCGAGTACTCGTATTGTATTGTAAGAAGTTGCCATTGTTGTGCTCCTGATTTGCACGGTTTCAAGCTAAAGCAGATGCAAACGATCAAATTACTTTATAGTTGAATTGATAGGAATTCAACCAAGCATATCGATACATCATTGAAAATGATCTTTGACGCGCAATGTAGTGTAAGATAACCAATGTATTGTGCACGCCATGTATTAATTATTGATATCGACATATATTTTTGTTAACTGATGACATTTCATTTGAAAACAGAGTTTATAATTGATCATTATCTGTATATAAATTATATATAGTCCATAACTTGTACTCGTAGTTTGCAAGTAATTTAATTAAAAAAATCAGATTACATTGAACAAATGACTTGATCAGAATAGAATGAACAAATGACTTAAAATTAAAACTGGTTATATAAATAAGATAGTCAATTACTTGCAGGTAAGGAATCCAAAGTGATTACAAAAATAGTTATTCAGTTAGAATGATGCAAAAGACATGAAGACCGTACGTTTGTACAAAATATATAACAAATTTAATGTTAACTTATTCGTAGTTGAATAGTCTTGAATCAAAGAAATTGGTCAGATATAAATCATATAATGAAATTTATATAGTCCATGACTTGTAACTTGCAAGTGATTAAATAAATAAGATCGAACAAAAATGACTTCAAATTAAAACTGATTATACAAAGAACGTTTTTTTTCCCTGAGTTTTTAAGTGATTATTGACTTATTTAATGATTAATTAAGCCACATAATACGAGAGTTAAAAAAATATAAAAATAATTATTCATAGGGAAAAAGAGAGAGAGATTCTATAAACAAATAGTTAACTTCACCCAAAAAAAAAAAAAAAAAAAAAGTTAACACTAGTTTTAAAATCTCTCAACTGTTAGTGCTACCCGTAAAAGTGGTAATTTTTTTTTATTTTTTTTTTAATTTTTTTTTTGGTGCAAAAGAGGTAATAAACCCGTACAAACAAAAACGAAAACTAAGAAATTAAACGTGGCAAAGCCACTCCTATGATATCCTCATTTAGAAGAGCACAAATCTCCGATGGTGCAACATCAAAGAAGGCCACTTTCTCACTTTGGATAACCCCTAAATTAGCTAGCTTATCCGCTACTTTATTCCCCTCCCTATAACAATGTACGACTCGAACTGACCAACTAGAACAATTTAACAGGAAACGACATTTATTAAGAACATGGACACACTCTCCACCTTGGATGTCTGGATTCTTCAATGCTTCTATACAGGCTTGATTGTCCATTTGAAGCTCAAGTTTGCTGATCCTTTTCCTCATAGCTAATTCCAGTCCTAGTTCAACTACAAGTAACTCTGCTCTGTATGCAGAGCAAATACCAAAGCTAGCTGTGAAACCCCCCACGACTGCCCCGTTATCATCTCTCAAAATGCCACCACCCCCTGCTAGTCCAGGGGTGCCCTTAGAAGCACCATCAGTGTTCAACACTGTCCCAGCCAGCATTAGGAGCTTTCCATCTCACCAAAATTTCCTTCCTAGGTTGCTGCACACCTGAACTCAAAGAGATAATGCGATTGGGATCATGAAATGCATTCCAAACATCCTCTACTTGGCCTAGAATGAACTCCCCTGTATGATTGTGGGATATCAGTTCCTCTGCCAAAAACCAAGGAGTTTCTCCACCTCCATTGCCACCATAGAGTTATTGCAAAACACGAGGACCATTTATCATCAAAAATTATATTACTAGCATCCAGATTACGAATCAGCCACTGTTCAAGGTTTCCAGCCCAAAAGGAAGGGTGATTTGCAGAACTTCCCACGCTTCTCCATATAGCAGCAGCTGCAGGGCAATCTCTCAGAGTGTGCAACAAGGTTTCATCTAAGTTCCCATCACATCTGGTACATCTTGGATCATTAGTGAGACCACGCCTAAGTCTGTTGCGTTGCAAAGAACACGATTGTGAAGAGTTAACCAAATAAATACCCTTACTCTTTGCTGAGCTTTCACAGTCCACGCTAGATCCCATTTATGGTGCTTTGGAATCATATCCTCATCTTTCAATAATACCATAGCTTGCTTGATTGAGAACTTCCTCGAACTTGAGCCTTTCTAGAAGCGAACATCTTCAACATCTGGACTATCAGCTATCTTGTGCGAAGCTATTAATTTTAGGACCTCGGAAGATAATAAATGAGCAAATTCATCCCACAACCACCCTGTATTTTTGTCCCACAGCTCACTGACAGTAGCTCCTTCAATTAAGCTTGGGATGGGTAGGATTACCAATTCCCTTAAAGGTGAGTCAGTCACCCAGCAGAGATCCCAAAATAATGTTCGACAACCATTCCCAATAGCCACCATCGATCCTTTCTTGATCAAGTGCGCGTTGTCAACTATACCACGCCACACGTTGGACATGCTAGAGGTTGGTGTGAACATATCAATATCACACCGACCTTTGCAGTATTTTGCACGAATTACACGAGACCATAAAGCAGTTGGCTCCGCGATCACTCTCCTAACCAAGCTTTGTGAGAAAGGCTGAATTAGATTGACTTGCAGACCTGATTCCCAAGCCACCCTTGCATCTTGGCAGTTGAACAGTATCCCAGGCTATAAGGTGAATTTTTGCTTTGTCTTCGTTGCCTCCCCATAAAAATCTACGAGCTTTTTTATCAATTGTGTCACAGATTGATATCGGGATTTTCGCGGTTTGAATCGAATAATTTGCAAGAGTTATGACAGTAGATTTTGTCAATGTAATTCTCCCAGCCATAGACAGATATTTCGCCTTCCACCCTGAGAGCCTTCTATCTATTTTCTCGCATAAGTGCGCAAATGTCTCCTTGGTGACTCTAGAAGTAAAGGTTGGCATTCCAAGATACGTGCCAAGATCTTCAGTAGCCTTCATTCCCAAAGCTTCACTAATTGCTTCAATATTTTCTTGTGATACATTCTTGGAATAATACACTCGAGACTTTTGAAGACTGACCTTTTCTCCCGAGGCTGCACAAAATCGATCTAGGCAGTCACGAATAACTATTGCCTGCTCAATTGAAGCCTCCGCAAATAACATTATGTCGTCCGCAAAGAATAAATTGGAAAGGCTGGGACCTCCTCTGCTTGCGAAAATTGGTTTCCACCTATCACAAAGAACTGCCTCTTCAATGGTTTGATTTAATCTCTCCATACAAAGCACAAATAGATAGGGTGAGAGCGGATCTCCTTGACGTATGCCCCTTATAGGTTTAAAGGCTTTGGTTTTTTCGCCATTCCAAAGCACTCTCATAGAAGGTGATGTCACACACTCCATAATAAACTTCAGTCATGAGCCGGGGGAAATTCATTACAATCAGAGTATCTCGAATGAAACTCCACTTGAGTCTATCGTAGGCTTTTTCAAAGTCGATTTTCAGAGCCATGTAACCTTTCCCACCTTGCTTTCTCTTCATGGTGTGGATTACTTCCTGCACTATCACGATGTTGTCTGTAATTTGCCTTCCGGGAACAAAACTTGTTTGGGAACAAGAGATAACCTTAGGGAGCAGACTTTTTACTCGGTTAACTATAGCCTTTGTAATGATCTTGTATGTGACATTACAAAGGCCTATAGGCCGAAATTGAGAGGGAAGTTCAGGGTTGTCTGACTTAGGAATTAAGACTAGGAAGGTGTCATTTGCAGAATCTAGAAGACCTTTACCCTCAAGAACAGAGAACACCATTGAATAGACATTCGGGGCTACTAATTCCCAATTTTTTCTGATAAAATAAAGCTTGGAATCCATCCGGACCCGGCGCTTTAAGGGAACCCATATTCTGGATCACATAATCAATATCACATTTAGAGTAAGGTCTGCTCAATTTGTCTAAATCCGAGCTTGAAAATGGTGAACACATTCCTGTAGGGATGTTATACTCCCCATGGACACCATCATCAGTGAAGAGATTTCGAAAAATAATTCACAATTAGGTTCTTCACCTCTTCCTTATCATGTATCCATTGGTTGTTTTCATCCTTAACTGCGAACAATCTTGTTCCTCCATCTTTTCACCACTGTACTTAAATGAAAGAAGTGGTGTTGCGGTCCCCGTCAGCTAACCAATCCACGCGAGCTTTCTGGTACCAAAGCAACTCCTCTTGCTGAAGCACTTGATCAAGGTCACGTCTTAGTCTTGCTTCCATTTTAATCAAGCTGGAGTTGTCTAGACAGAGAAGTCTGGATGCCTTTGATACGGGCCATGAGAGATCTTTTTTCTCTGAAAATGTTATGAAAAAACATTTTTATTCCACTCTTGAAGGTTTTCAGCAAAAGATTTGAGCAGAGGCACTAAAGGATCATTGGGGCTCCACTTTTCTTTGATAAATTCTTCGAACTTTTCATGTGTCAGCCATGCTGCTTGAAAGCGAAAGGCTTGCTAATATTCGAGAGAGGGGAGAAACCATTGGGAGATATGAATAGAGGGTATGGTCTGATTGCAGCGCTGGCAAAATGTTTTACTCTTGCCAGATCAAACCGTAAACCCCATTCTGAGTTACACAAAGCCCTGTCAAGCCTTGCACTTTGATATGTATCATATGAATTTCCCCTAGCCCAAGTGTGAGAAGGGCCCGAGAATTCTAGTTCGAGGAGTTGGGTGTCATCAACCCACGCATTAAATCTTTCACTCCTTCTGGAGGTTTCAGGGCAGCTTGAATTTCTTTCCCAAGAGTATCTTGTCTCATTAAAATCACCAGCAAGTAGCCAAGGCTGGTTGTTATTATCAGCAAATTTCCTAAATTCATACCATAATTCACTCCTCTTTGAAGGGTCAGGACTAGCGTAGATAGCAGTGAAAGTACCACGGAATTTCACCTACTCTAGTGATCATCATTGTGATATACTGATTATGTTTGGTAATTGGATCCACTTTCACCAATTCCGGCTTCCAGTAAATCCAAATGCCTCCGCTATATCCTTGAGCATCCACTCTCGTGTGGCCATTGTAATTGAGAATAGAAGCTATTTTTTGAGCATGATCGCCTCCCATATGTGTCTCAACAAGAGCAAGGACACATGGTTTATTCACTCTAACAATTTCTTTCAATACATTGATGAATTCTCGACTTCCAGTACCTTGTGTGTTCCATATCATACAAGTGATAGGGAGAGAGGTAGTGTTAAGGTTGTGATTATTCATAGACATAATTGAGTTAGGGAAACTGGCATTATGTGCATCAAAAAGCAGTTGCAACGTTCGTTTAATGTCAATTGGCAACTTGAGTGTCACCAACAACTCTGGCATTCATTTGGTTCGTCACAGATCATTAATGTATCTCCACCTCTAGTTGGTGAGTCAGGGGTCTGCAATTACCAAGTATGGGTCCTCCATCAAGTCTGTCACAGGAATGATCTTGTCTGGAGGGATCTGTAGGATTATTGGAAAGGGTGTAGCAGAGACATGGCTTACAGAGGAGTGTTGTGTGACTTAGTCAGAGGGTCTTCGAGCTAGCTTGGGTTGGCTTAGGGGTGGCTACTGTGTTTGCTTGGATAGTAATCATAGGGGTGGGAGTTTTAATAGCTTCAATATGAGGTGGGGTAGAATCTTTTGAGGAAATATTAGTTATATCATTTAGGATAAATTTATTTTGAATATTCTGTTTTTTTGTATCTTTTCCTTTTTTTGTTGAATCAATCTTTTGGCCATGATTATCGGAATGGGATCCCAACTTGAAAGGGATATTATTCTCCAAATTTCCCATAACAATCTTTTCTTGCGAAGATTTTGCCAAGTTAACTGTTTCAAAAATACTCGGAATTGAATTATTAGTCTCCAAAAATCCATCAAGATCAACTATTTCCTTGTTCTATTCCTGATTAATCTCCCCTAATGCTGCAAATCTTGATCCCTGTTGACTTGCCTTATGACTCTCCATGGGCTTAGCTGGGCCTGGGTTTAATTTGACGGGCTGCTGGGGTTGCTTGAGCCCGTCCTGCTGTTTTTTCCGGCCTCAGATTCCGCTTCCTTGGTGGTGGTTTTTTCACTATCATCCAGGAACCATAATATTCTTCTTCAATTCTTGGAGCAAGTGGGATATTAGTAGGATTAAAATCCATCTCAGCTTCACCATTTAACTCTTTGTCACAGACAGCAGGACACTTATCAGATTGGTGACCAATTTTGCCACAGTTGAAGCATATCAATCTCAGACCTTCATATTGCACTCTCAATACCTTTCCTTTAAGCCAGAATTTAGAAAGAAGCGGTTTAGAGAGATCCAATTCTATACTTAGCCTTGTGAATTGACTTCTTTGAGCCATAGCTGTGTTGTTGTCAATCCTAACAACCTTCCCAATTTTATTACCAACCTTGAGAAGAAATTCTTTGTCAAAGTATTCCACAGAGAGGTTGGGGATACGCACCCAAGCAGTCAGAAACCTTAAAGGCGCATCATCAGGAATGAAATTTGGAACCCATTTCCTAATAGTGAGATAGTTATCATCAAGCATCCAAGGCCCTTGTGTTAACACATGATTATAATCATCTACAATAGAAAATCTGGCTATAAAATAATCATATCCAATATCCGTTAGTATCAAACCACCTTTGAGTTCCCATTTTTTCTTCAATCTCTTCATCAAAGCCATATAGCCAATTTTTCTATTAAACATCTTGATGATGAGTGTGTGTTTCCAGGGCTTCCTAATTCTCATTTTCTCCTCCTTAGTGAGTAGAATGACCGGGCATCGAGGATCGTCTATCACCCCCTCAGGTGCTTCATCATCATCAGAATAATCATCATCATCATCATTAAGGGTATCAGATTGATGGAGAAGGTTCCCCTGCATCTGGTCTTGTCTCACCATATCCCTATATGACATTGAATTAGGCTGCTTAGACTGATTGATTGGATGAACAGGCTGTTGAGGTTGAGGTGAATCTCTATTGAATATGAGATGGGTGATCTTGCGTTTGTATTTTTTAGTGGAGCGAGCAAATTGGTCATTTTCCTCTTGGGAGGAACCTTGGTCGTTTTCCTTTTGGGAGGAACCTTGAGAAGGGGTTTCCCTCACAAGGATGGGTTTCGCAGAGAGCATTTCAGAGAGCATTTCAAATTTCACTTAAATATAATGTAAAAGTGGTAATTTAATAGGTAGTTGTTCGTAAAATGTAATTGCTTGCTAAAGTGGTAACTTAAAAGGTAATTGTTGACAAAAAAATCTAACATTTTATAAAGGAGTTTTTTATAATAAGAATAATCATGTACGATGCGGTGGTCCTGGCCTGGTGTATTATCGATTATCGAATGAAAGCTTAATAACATACGAAGCACAATATGCGCATTGATCTTACCCTCAGTTGGCAATTATTAAGATGGTCCAACTACTACAACATATACTTCGTGTAAGAGTACTAATAGGATAGTGACAAACTAAGTTCGTTTACTTTTAAAATGCAAATGAAATTATTACATTCCACTTTGGTTTTCACCCTAATTTTATCCAAAAATTGTGTACAATGTCTAGTGTTATGATTATCACGAAATGGAGGGAGTTTGTTACATTGTAACTTAAGCTATGCTTGTATACAATAACAATACAATAAAAACATCAACATAAGCAATTAGACATATATAATAATGGTACAGTACAAACATCAATATTTATGAGATAAAAAGTAGATTTCACCTCACCTTGATGCTTGGTAAGCGTAGAATAATGATCGATGCTCAAGTATATATGTTCGTCATCTCTAATCACTCATGTCTATCTAGGTTCAACTTCAGTGACAGAGTCATCATTATTCATAGATATAGGGACAGATTTTCTGGTTGATTGATCTGAATCAACGCCTTTTTTTAAAACTGTTCGATCCAGTTGTGCTCCTAATAAAGAAGGCCGACTCTTTCGGCACAGGAGGAGTAACTGTGGAGTGAACATCCAGCAACAGCATTGCCCTTGCCATTGTTGGTCTTTCATCCACAGCCTCTTGAACGCATAACAAACCAAGGTGCATGCATCTCAAGACTTCGTTAAATGAACACGAGTTTCTTATCGTTGGATCCACGAATTCTAAGGGCTTGACATCTCTCCATTTGTTGATAAGTATATTAGGTGACTCGTACTTCGTAGCTTTGTCCGCCCGATCGGGCGGACATTGCCCGGTCTGACCGGGCGGAAGAAGAAGAGGTGCCTGGCAAATTCGTTGAAGAAGCTGCTCTCGCGCCCGACCGGGCGAGCCTTCGCCCGACCGGGCGAGCCTTCGCCCGATCGGGCAGACCTTGCCCGGTCTGACCGGGCGGTGGGGGTTGGATACGTTGAAGCATTCGTATGGAGTTTTCTTCTCGCGCCCGATCGGGCAGACCTTGCCCGGTCTGACCGGGCGGAGAAGGAAAAATGCGGAGACGCGGATTTTACGATTTAAAGTTATCTTTTATGTTATCTTTTTGCCCAAGTATCTTTTATTTTAGGGATTAATATAAAACCTCCCTAATATCAGTATTAGGGTTAAAGAGAGACAGAGTGAGAGCCGTTCTTGAGAAATACAAGAATCATCTTTGTAATCTTTGCAGTTTATAGTGAAATCATTCGATCTCGGTGCCCGTGGACGTAGCTATCACATCGATAGTGAACCACGTAAATTCTTGGTGTTGTTCTTATTGTTTGCATTGAATTTCTTTATTGTTTTCTTGTTTGTTTACGACCTTTGCTTCCGCTGTCGCACAACAATTGGTATCAAGAGCTCAGGTTCAATCCTTGGAGAGTTTCTTGAAGATAACAATGGCAGGAGATTCAACAATAAGAATTGAGAAGTTTACCGGGAAAAATAGTTTCGGGCTATGGCAAATTAAGATGAAGGCTCTGTTAAAACAACAGCAGATATGGCGTCCGTTGGCTCCAAAGAGTACTACTTCGGAGTCAGGAGACGGACCGACTGACTCGCAGTTAGAAGTTATGGAAGAGAAGGCACACTCTACCATATTACTTAGTCTTGATGATCAAATCATCACGGAGGTTGCTGATCAGGAAACGGCGGCTGGATTGTGGCTGAAGCTGGAGTCATTGTATATGACTAAGTCGTTGACCAACAAATTATTACTGAAACAGCGGTTGTTTAGCCTCCGGATGCAGTCAGGTACTTCCTTACGGGAACATCTAGAAAAACTTAACTCTATTTTGCTTGATTTACGTAATTTAGATGTTAAAATTGATGATGAGGATGCTGCGTTGATTTTACTTGTATCTCTACCGTCTAGCTTTGAGAATTTTGTAGAGTCTTTTGTTGTTGGTAAGGATTCTATAACCTTAGAAGAAGTGAAGGCAGCACTTCATACTAGGGAACTCAGAATGAAAGCTACGAGTGATAATGGGGATAATGGTAGTGGGTTATTTGTTAAGTCCGGAAAGTCTAAAAAGAATAAGGGGTTTAACAAGGGGAACAATGCTGGGTCGGGTGCTGGAAACGGCAAGGATGGATCTAGTAAAACTACTACTAAAACATGTTATTACTGTAAAGAACCGGGTCACTTTAGGAATAATTGTCCGGTGAGGAAAAACAAGTCCCAGGCTGCTGTAGTTGAAGAGAAACCGAATGAGAGCTATAATTCAGAGGAAGATTTAGCATTAGTCAGTTCTGCTAGGTCTGATGATTTATCTGATAACTGGGTTCTAGATTCGGGGTGTTCGTTCCATATGTGTCCACGTCGAGATTGGTTTGATACATATGAACCTCGCAATGGGGGTATGGTTATAGTCGGTAACAATGCTCCATGTAAGGTCACAGGTATTGGTTCCATGAGGTTGAGGACTGTTGATGGGCGGAGGTTAACTTTGACTAATGTACGGCATGTTCCTGCTTTAGGAAAGAATCTGATTTCATTGGGTACCCTGGATGAATTGGGGTACAATGGTGTGTTTTCAGATGGGGAGTTGTGTATTTTCAGAGGTTCTGAGTTGGTACTTAAGGGTATCAAAAGGAACACCCTCTATGTTTTTGAGGGTGTTACACTGCCTAGTTCTGCGGTTTGCGCATCTGTATCTCACCAGGAGATGACTAAGATTTGGCACATGAGGCTTGGTCATATGGGGGAGAAGGGGATGCAGCTATTGTCCAAGAGGGGTCTTCTATCCGGGGTCAAGGTTGCCAACCTTGAATTTTGTGAGCATTGTGTGTTTGGTAAGAAACACAGGTCAAAGTTCAGCAAGAGTGCTCACATTACTGATGCAGTGCTCGATTACATCCATTCAGATTGCTGGGGTCCATCTAGAGTTGAAGGTATGGGAGGTTACCACTATTTTGTGTCA